ATTTTCGTTAATATCACTATCAACATAATTTTGAACAGGTTCAAATGGGTTGATATTAACGAGGGTCACCTGTATATCTTGCTATTTCAGCTACATCAACACTATTAGAAAGGTTATTTTCAGATTGTAAAAATTTTATGGGTTCTAAAAGAACTCACATAAACCCAGAATTTTTTAAAAAATTAGTATTTTTGAAAAGAAATTATAATTTTTTAGATAGCATTTATCTGCTATCAACAAAATAATAAAATTAAAATTTTTAATTTTATTCTATTTTTATATAAAATAAATAATTAAATAATAATAAAAAACACTTATATATTTATTTTGTTTTATATTATACGAGTATTAGAGGGCTTCTAAATTAACTTTTTTCAAAAATAAGTATGAGTTAAAAGATCTTATTTTTCTTTTTAGAATTCTGAATCAGAAAATTAAATAGGTATAGTTGGTAATAATATTAGCTTTTTTTGATAAATATTTACTAGTGAACATTATATAAATAAGTATATACTTTAAAAAATATAATTATATATTGCTTTTTTTGTTACTTATTTTATTTGAAATTGGTTCTACTACAATAAATGGTCATGTGAACAAGGATAAAGGTAAAAAGAAAGAAAAGACAGAGCCTAACGATTTGTTAGTAAAGGCTAACCTGAGTGATAAAGTCCAGAAGAAAGTCTTAGCAAAGGAGTTGCAAAAACAGGAGAATAAAAGACCTAATAATGATAAACATAAAATCCTAAGTGGAAGAGTAGAAGGTTATTGTAATAATGGTAATAGTGATAAGAAAAGATATAAAAAGGATACATTCAATAATCATGAAATAACAGATAACTCTGAGGATCTGTTAGACAATATTTAGAACCTATTTAACTGTGTATATAGTAGTCAAAATAAGATCAGAAATGAAAAGGTTGAATATAAAACATCAAAAAAAGTAAAATACTGGTGGTACCTACTTTTTCCGGCATTGTTATCAGAATAAAATTGGTATTGAAAAGAAAGAACGAAAGGTATATGGCTACTATTACAGCTGTTTTTATAAATTCTAGAACACCTAAAAAAATTTGCTGATAATAATTTTGGCCACTTTTGTTTTCATACTTCGAGCTTTCCATATTGTGTTTTTTAAGTTTTTTAATTCTGTAAAGAAGTGAGTATAGTTAGAGATTAGATCTGTAGATTGGCAGAATATCACTTATATTTTTGTTAAAGAGTGTATTTTTTCTAGAAGTGTGTTGATTGTTTGAACCATGTTAGCTATTAAGTTTAGGGGTTGGATAGTGCAGGTAATATGAATTGTATTGCTAATAGTTTTGAGTACTATATGTAGCTTAGTGGCTTTTGCTAAAAATGCATAAAACATCTTGTGTGATTTGAGAGTTGTAGATATTTTTCAATTAGCAACTTTTTTAATTGTATTTGACTATTTGTTCTAATATTTGTTAAGTTAATTATAGTTTTTTGGAGGAGATAAGATGTTTAGAGTTTTGAGTTCATTTTCTACTACTTTAAAGAAGCCTTGCCAAAATTCAGAGTTTATTTGGTCATAGAGATAAATTTTTCTTTTCTTTTTTTTTTAATCTTGGAAGTTTGAAGTTAAAGTCAGTTGTCCAAGTAGTT